CTAGAATAGGGCTAATTAAGCTAGATTATGCTACAACAGGAAGACTTACACCTAAAAAAACTAAATAATAGTGTTTACTTATAACATAACTGTTGCGTTAGCCTACAATAACTAAGTAAAGTTAAGTAGATTAATAAGGGCTAAAATATTAAGCATAGCATTTTTAAAAGCTTATTATTTAGGTTTAAAGGTAATAAAGAGCTATCTAGGGTTAGCCTAGACAGACTGTGCGTAAATACGCTAGAAGGAGCTAGAATACGCACTTTAAAGCACTTTTTACTAGATTTAAAGTAATAAGCATACTTAGTGTACTTAATTTTCTTTTTTTTATGCTATAACATAACTTATTGTTTATAAGCATATAACAGCTACTACTTTTATTTATAATGCCTTTATAGAATATTTTATTAATATATTAGACATAAGAGTTATTAAAGCGCAAGTTTATGTTAGTAAAAGCTAATTATTTTTTTTTTAAAAAAAACTATAGCTAGATTATAATAAAGTAGGCTACAAAAGTTTATTTTAAAGTTATTAAGTAAAGTTAAGCATAAAAGAAGAAGCTAAGAGCAGATTAGGTAACAGGCAGGTGTAAGTAGGGTAAGATAGGACTATTAAAGCTTATTAGCACCCCTTTGCGCTAGATTACGCTAGAGTAGCTTAGAATATACTTACCTTAAAAAGTTTAGAATCTTTTAAATTCTAAGCTGTAAAGAGAGTAGAAGTGTAAAGGAGATAAATTTCTAGAACAGTTAGACCCTATATATACTGTCCTAACTGCTACTCTATTAGTGTAAGATATACTGCTATTTTACCTTTACTTTTACTTTATACTTTTACTTTACCTTTACTTAATTACTCTAGGTTATTTTTAAATAAACTTGCATAAAATTAACTAAAATAGGTAGAAGTAAGTTTTTAGGGCATTATGTAACACTTTTTTGTGCTACTTAGGCCTATTATTATCTGTTCTATCCTCTAAGTTGTAGGACTACTATAAGGGGGGATAATGTAAGGCTAGATGTCCTAGAACGGGCTAGTATGGCCTCACCTAACCTGTTTGGAGGTTGTATGACCTGTGCTTTGTATATAAGCATGAATCCTAACAAGCGAAGCTTGGCAGCGATTCGTCTCTCTTACAATACACTCCTATCTTTCTCCGAAAGCTTGCTCTTAGTGCTATTCGTGCTACTTACCATCCCATCTTTACAGCAACATTATACACTAGAATTCTACTAAGTGTAAAAAAGTAACTAAGAGTGTTCTTACTAGTAAACTATACAAAATAGTTAAAAAGTTTAATAATGTAAATATACTTAGTATAACTTTATAGAAGATTATATAAACACTTATACTATAATTAATTTTAGTAGTAATTTATATAATTATTTTATTAAGCTAAGCACTACTAGTAAAAAATAACTTATAATTAATATTATATTACTTTATAAATTATATAACGTACCTAACAGGTTGGCCGGCCACACAGGTTAGCTGGCTACTTTTGCCAAGCCCCTACTAAACTCTACCTATCTACATAATGCCTTAACAACAACACTAGATTAAATCTTCTAAAGAACGTTAGATACAGCTTGCTCTTTAGGCTTTTAAATAAGACTTAAAACTCTCCTTACAACGCGCTGCAGCTATCTATAATGTCTCTTACATAACACTAAGTAATTAACGCACTAGACAGCCTTTACAAGCAGAATGCTAGCCTAAATTAAGGAATCTAACTAAGCTTAAAAAGAAGGTAGTTGTTAAGTACATACTTAAGCTTATTACACGCAGATTTCCCTTTAGGCTTATAGCTGTAGCTAATATAGCTAATTCCTTGCCTGTAGAGTGTAATCTAGGCTAGGTTAGCTTAAACTAGACTAGTATGTAGGTTAAGCACTGCTCTAAGTTTACAATAAAGTTTAATTATAAGTATAATTATAAAAAAGCGCTTTATAAAGATCTAGAGGTTATCTAAAGCTAGTTTTACCTAGTACCTAACATAAAAGCTAAGTACAGTATCTAGGATAAAGACAAGTATAACTTTAACAAGTTAAGCTTTATAATAGGCTAAATATTAACTAGAGCAGTTATTACAGCTTTAGAGAGACAAGGACAGCTAAAGGTAATATAGTAAAGTAATAAAAAGTAGATAATAGTTATCTAGGGTATTAATGTAACAAGGTAGGCTATAAGATTATAAAGCTTTAAGCAGTAAATAAGGCTGCTATATAACATAGATTACATAAAAAGAAGTAGATTTAGGCAGAAAAGACCTTAATAGTTAAGGATAGAGCTTGTCTAACTGCTCTAAAGGAGTTTAAAGCGCGTAGTAATAGGAAGAAGCTAAAGACGCAGGTGCGCGCTAAAGGAGGTAAGCTAAGTTAAAGGTACTATAGGCAGTGTAATTAGACTAGGCATAACTTATGTATGTGTAAGTAAGTAGTAGAAGTAGACTTTAAATAATATCTTATGTTATATTACTTTATATAGGGCTAAAGTAGGTTATTTTGCAAGAGAATAGGGTAGTTTTAGTAGAGGCTTAGCAAAAGTGGCCGGCCAACCCGTTAGGTACGTTAAGAAAAGAAAGATTATAAAAATTAAGTAAATTAATAGTAAAAACAACTTTATAAATGTATAGATAAAGATGACACTAAATTTAGCTTTTTAACTATTAGTCTTAACTAACTATCTCTCTATTTAAATAGAAGCATCTGTAGACTAGCTAAATCTTATGTGTAAAGATGTCTTAGACTAACTAAACTAATTATACTTTTATATAAAGCTTTTTTTTTTATTACTTACACTTATTTTTTTTATTTTAGTATAAGATTAAAAGAAAGATATATAAAAAAACATTATTTAGCTAGTATATAAAAGAAAAAAAACTACTAGCCCCCCCTCTAAAACACACTACCCCTTACGTGTAGTAGTTATAGTGTAGGCTACAGCTCTGCTATACGCATAAGGTGTAGGCATTAGCCTAGAAGTTAGCTAGCATGTAACACTTAATAAAAAAAAAGACACTAGTAGTACTACTATAATAATAAAGATACAAAGTTACTAAGACTTAACTATAACTTTAAACTAAAACTATAAAGAAGTACCTCTTACACTACACAACTTTAGCTGCCTACAGCTATAGGTTGGTGCTAGTAAGTAAAATAATATTAATATTATAAAATAGTAAAGCTATTACATGCTACTTTTTAGCCTATTTACATTAGCCTTTAGTATAAGAAAAAAGTAAAAAAGTAAAAAAATTTATACATTTATATAAAGACACTATATAAACTACTAATTAGTAGTAGAACTAGTTAAAAAGGTAACATAAATACATCTTAGGCTATTAGGCTACATAAGGACGTTAAAGACCCCCGCTCTAACAGCGTTAGAGAAAAAAAAGAAGGGCTAGAAAGACATTATATATATATATATATATATATATATATATATGTGTGTGTGTGTGTGTGTAGAAGAACCTGTTACTATTAGCACTATATTAAAAAAAAGCTAAGTGATTATATAGTAGAGTTTATAAAGTTAGGGCTAAAGAAGAGAAGGTAAAAGAGGAAAAAAAGACTTTATTATATACACCTTCTTACACACCTCTTTACATAAAGATCTTATACTATTTTATTATAAAATCCTATATAAAAACAGCTTATACACTGCTAAATATTTATAGAATAAGTGTATAAAGCTAAATAATAATAGCTTAAATACTTTATATTATTTATAAAGCTATTTATAAAGTATAACTAGTATATCTTAACATACAGCATTACTAGAATAAGTTATAACAAATAAAGTAAAGCATAGGTAGAAACAAATTTAATAAACTTATATAAATAAAAAAAGGTAACTAGTATAAAAGGCAATATTTTAAATAAAAATAAAAAGTTGCTAGTGTCTACACACAGCAGCAGTGTTACAGTCTAGATACTAGTTATTGCGCATAAGAAGGATTATGTAGCTATGTTACATAATGCTTGTGTGTAAACCTCTGTGTGTAAACATCTAGATGTTCCCCTTTTCCTCTGTACAGAGGAAAAGACAGAGCAATAGAACTAGAAACATGTTGCCTCTACCCTGCCCACTTTGTACGCTGTGCACACTGTACACTACTCTTACTCTTGCTACTTAAGTGCTTATACTATAAGCAGCTAGCTAAAAGAGCTTATTTACTAGTTGTAGTATTTTATTCTTATTTTAAAGGCATTACTTAAGCATTTATAGCCTTCATAATAGAGACTAGCTTAAATGCTATTTTCTAATAAAAGTTTATAAATTTAATCTCTATAGCATGCTTCTAGCTATCTAAGAATTAGTAGTAGTGTGCCTTATAGTAAGTTTTAGGCATAGAAGGTAGATAATCTTAATAAACAGCTTTAACAGTAATAGTAGCAGGTTTAGTAAAGTCTTTTATAAAGCTTAATATAAAGGTATAATACTAGCTAGACATTTTAGTAGTAGTTTGCATAAGTGCAGTAGTGTATTGTTAACGCGTTATTTTGCTTTCCCTCTCTAAGATGTTTAATTTATTAATAGCAGCTATGCTTCTAGGAGAGCCTAGTTTAGTAAAGTTCTTAAGCTATATATAAAAAATTGTCGCGTAAGAGAGCACATGGTCCTAGTGTCGCGCCTGTGTTTCGGACGAGCAGCCTGAGACACTCGGCGCCGGAGCTCCCACTACATAGGCAGGCTCCCTATGAGCCTCTCATAGTCAATAGACTTGCTCCTCATTGCTCCCTGATCAGCGGTTGCGACAAAAATGAAGTTAGCTTTTTTAAGAATTTTTTAAGGCTTATAATTAATTAAAGGTATATGCTAAGTAGTTATAGCTTACTTAAGATAATTATTATTAGTTTTAAAGTCTATAGCTAAGATTGTCGCCCTAACCTAGTGCTTATACTTTAACAATAGAAATGAATACGCGCCCTGCCCACTCCTTTGCAGATTCTCTGCCGGGTGTTAAGGCTTCCTAAGGGCCAATATCTTCTTTATGTAAAAGATTGCAAATAGGGATGTTGAAGTGCTTCTGAAGCTATGGGTCTCTTGCTGTGATCAACAACTAGTAAAGACTCGATAAAATCCAGTAGCTCCGGCGACACCGAGGGCTCTGCGAGCCGCTGTAGTTCCTCCCGCAAAGTGCCTCCTTTGATAAGCCTCGTGCCATCATGGGGATTGTCCATGACCGCTAATTGTTCTGCAAGCTCAAACTCATCCTTGTAGGGTTGGCAATCAGCAGGTTGACCTAGCGGGCCAAGGAGACGGATGATTTTCGCGATGCACCACGCTTCTGTAAACCCTTCGATTATCTTGTCACTGGGACCAAAGAGGGGGCGCGGTGATAATCGACGTGCCAACTTCCAACTTAGCTTTCGCTCGGAGAGGTAGGTGTGAGCACTAACCGTAACACCAAGTGACCATACATCAGAGGAATGTTGACACCCCAAGCCTTGCCAGACCTCAGGCGCCCGACACGGCAGGCTTTGACCACGTTGTTTTGTAGAACCCTCAGTAATCACTATGAACATGAGCGCTGTCAACCAGAGGTAAGGAGGACACCTACAATTCCCTAGATCTCCCAGCTTGGCAATTGGCGAAAGCCCATCGATGTCGGAGACGTAAACGTTGTTTACGTTAACATCTGGTTATTTAGTACTGGGAGTATAAATGAGGAACGAACGGTTTACCTGTATGAACGACACTGAGCTTTTTGAAGAGTTCAAGAGCCGACAGGACCACTTTAGACACCACTTTTGGCAACCTTGGGTCGCCTCGGAATCGGTTGGCCTGGACGGATCGCAAATCCAGATCCATCCATCCAAATACCATGCATCCCGGGTCGTGTTGATCTCCATTTGACCGTACTGTATCGTGCAGAGTTCGGATGTAAGGGCATGAGGCTATTTCGAGGACCCCGTAATTGCGGTATTCTCGCTTCAAGGCATTTCTTTCATCGTTGGTAGCAGGAGATTTAATCACGGCCCTCGAGTGATAGTGAGCTGTTAATACTTGTAGCACTTGAACGGAGAGAGCCATACCATTCTCCTTGGATTGAAGGGTTGGACAGCACCCGGGCTTTGAAGACGCTGGAACCTTTCAGCTGCTCCAGCAGCTCATACTTTCCTTTTCCACCTCGAAGCACTTGTCCAATGCGCAGCGCCATATCTTCCAAATTAGTGGGAAAGCGAAATGATGCGTATGTGCGCGAAGGGGTTGCAGGCTGGTGGTCAGCTGCCTAGCCAGCAGTTATGTCGGAAAGCGCATTTTATCATGTCCCCACCACAAGAACCTCCCCCTCCCATCCCACTCGGAGCTCGCCCTATTTCACTTTCCCCCACTTCCAACACCTTCTTGCGCGTTTCCGTGCTTTGCACGTCACCGCCCAAAATCTTGCTGCACCCCTCGCCTCCTATTTTCTCCACCGCTGCTTCGCTCCCCTACACCCTTGCCTTCAACGCCACCCTCCAATTATCGGCCCCGTCTCCGTTCCTCAGATACGGTCGCTATCTTTCCTTCTTCTTTACGCCCCGAAACCGACGGCGTGAGGGACAACGTCACAAAGACCGTGGGAGTAATGCCTTCAGATCAACGGATGAGAGGTTACCGTATTTCATCGCTTACCGTAGCTTTTGTCGTGTGCGAAATTCTCTGGATTCTTGGCAATGCCAAGTAACAACTTTCCACTCACAAATCTCATAGAAATGCAGGTAACTGCACATACCGCTCTATATAATCCGCCTAATAGGAGAAGGACGTTGTATTGTGAAGCTATGTGGAGCACCAAAGACATGAGGAACTGGATTGTATTGCTAAAGGAGGGCAACTACGGGTTTATATAGTACTAGATGAACCCATCATGTGACTTAAGGCCACCAATAGCTCTAGGCTGCAGCAGGTGGTATTGCTAGGCAGCAGTACGCCAAAGGAGTGTTGGTGGCTAGCGCATGGAGAGCTCCGTAACTGCAAACATGTATAGTAAGTAAGGCTTTTTAATAGGCTCTATTAGCCCTATCTAACTGTTTTTTTAGAGTAGTTACTGCTAATTATACTTTAAATTACTTACCTTTATTATTAATATAAACAGATAGCTAGAAATACTCTTACTACTTATTAGTTAACTTATAATAAATAAAGAAGTAACACTTAAAGTATTATTGTGTTTAAAGAGCGCGCTGCGAGTACTCTAGCACTAGCTCCGCGCAGTAGGAACGCTGCACGCAGTGGGAGGGCTAGTAGAGTTGCGCAAGGTAGCACGCGTGCTGCGTTAACTCTAGCTCCTTTAAAAGCACCTGCTAAAGCTTCTACTAAACGCCCTACATTACTAAATCTATTTATTATAAAGAAAAAAGCTCCTGCAGGTAGTTTAAAGGCTTAATTAAAAAAGGCAAAAGTGTAGGCTATACACTACTAAAAGCTTATTAAGTTGCGTAGATTACTGCGTAAAAAAAGTGTTGCTAGCAAAAACAATAACAATAATAATAAAAAAGATATTAAGAAGCTAGCATATAAAAAGTAAACGCCTCTAGATATTTGTTATTGCAACATGTCTACTATAAGACCTGCTAGAACGCATAGATATAATAGTTAGCTTCTATTAAAAAAAACACAGCAACTTAAAGTTATAAAAAAGAACTTATAGTAAGAGTTAAAGTGTTACGTAAAGAAGACACCTAATTCCTTTAATGCCGCAAAGTTTATAAAGAAGGAAGTAGTTAATGCTTATGTTAATTATAATTTTATGTTTAACTATGTTATACAGCCCTTTATATAAGTTTAGGTTAATAAGGCTACTATTCTTAACTATTTAAAAAGTAATAATTACTAAATAGCCTTTACTAAGGTCTAGTTGCAGATTAAGAAGATAGTAGTTAATATAGTTTTTAGAAAATGTAGTGCTAAGAACATTATGTTTATAAGCTATAAAGTTATTATTAAATTTATTAATAGAAGCGCTAAGAACTACTCTTATATAATTACTAACTTTAAATCTGCCTATATAGAGAAGATAATTAGTATTACTAATAAACAGTACTTTAACTTTTTAAAAAACATAGTCTAGCTTACCTTTAAAGTAAAAACTAAATATAAAGCTTTTACTAAGCTTAGGCAGCTACAGCAGATAAAGAAGAAGGCTAAAACTTCTAATGTAATAGTTAAGGTTGCTGCTGCTTTTAATAGTTCTCTAACACTAGCTACTTTTATAAATAATAGCTAAAAGTTGCGTAGTATAACACTATATAACATAAATTTAATTTAATAACTTTAAGGTTATTAAACACGCAGTAAGTTTATAAACACCCTTATTTAAACCTAAAGGTGCTAGGATCTTAGCTGCCTAAATATTAGTAACTTCTGCTATTATAACACAGCAGAGTAGCTTAGCTCTTACTTTAAAGTTAAGTAAACTAACTTTAATGTTTAGGCCTTTACTTTAAAAAGAAGCAACGCTAGTGTTTTAGTTATAGTGCCTCTAAAGTAACAGAAGAACTACCTATACAGTAAAGGCACAATTAATTAAAAGGGCCTAACGCCTAGTTGTTAGACACTAGCCTAGCGCTACAGCGCACAGGCAAACTTTATAGCTAATTATATAAAGGAGGCGCAGAAGATGTATTAAAATATAATAATAAAGAAGAAACTTAAGCGCATATAAAAGAGAATTAAGAATAGAAAGCAGCGCTATAATAAGAAAAAAAAGAGAAAGCAGCGTTATTATAAAGAGCTTAAGGAACTAGAGTTTAATAAGAAGCTAGCAGCTAATTAGCGCCAGCCTTATCTATACCTAAATTCTAACTATAACTAGGCCTCTAGCTATCTGCCTCTTGCTTTACTAATTACTGCAGTTACTGCAGCTCTAGCAGCTCTAGCAGCTCTAGCAGCTCTAGCAGCTCTAGCAGCCCCTGCAGCTCCTCTTGTTAACCTGCCTCTGCCCCCACTATACAATCCTCTGCCTAGCGCTGTTCACGTAAACGCTGCTGTTAATTAATTGCCTACTAAGAAATTAAGCCCTATAGATCTATTACAGGACAAATATAATCTAGTAAAAGAGTTCTTTTATTAGATAATTAAGCAGCAGAAAACTAAAGCTTAGAAGCTTTAGTTTAAACATATAAAAAAGACAGCAACTGCAAACTTCTAGACTTTAGATAACTTTAAAGGCATAAAAGATTTAGTGTTTAAACTGTATAAACTAGTAACAGTAGATTATTATCTGCCTAATAGGATTATGCGCAGTTTTAGACGCTATTTAGGTAGGCTTAAACTAGAGCACTATTAGAGGAAGGCTGTGCTAGCAGCAGGAGCTCTTATTAATCTGTAGATTAGTAGAGAGGGATTTCTAAAAAGTAATGTTAGTTAGTTTAAACAATAAATCCTAGATTTATATAGTAGATAGTATGTAATAATAGGGCAGCTTGTTGTCGCAGTCCTAGTGCATAATAGTACTATAAAATTAGACTGCTACTGCAGCTGCTACTTATTAACTTTACCTCTTTTGTACGCTCTTATCTACGCGTTTGCTCTATTAAATACCTTATCTTTAATATATAGTTCTTCTCTACTAGCGTGCTAGAACAGCTTAGTAGTAAATTAATTATAGTAACTTTTACTAATAGTACATTTTAGGAAATCTCTAAATGCGTTAAACTTATATTAGTAATAGTAGTAGTAATATTATACTTAGGCCTTTAGCACTAAAAAAGTTAGCTTAATTAGATTATAGTTAGGTAAGTATAGCAGCAGGAACTGTTCTGTATGCCCTTCTCTTTAGATAGTGTTTAGTATTCTTTTGTTATAGTAAGTAGAGCAGTTATCTAAAACAACATATATTACGCACCTTTTAAACTAATAATTAATAGTTAGTAAAAGCTAGTTCTCTATCTAATTAATAAAAAGCTTAGTGTTAAAGTATTTCTACTAAAACGCTGTACAATTAAGGTATCTATAGAGGAGGGTGTACGCTAGTAGAACTAACCATGCGCGCCTGCAGTCTTTATCCCTAGCGTATTAATTATTATTACTAATTAGGCTATATGCGCAGCGCCTTTAGCCTGTTGTTTTGTTAAAATTTAACTTATTAATAAAGACTAATTAATCTACAGTATAGTTTATTATAATATAGTAATAGTTATTATAGAGATTTTTACTATGTTTAACTAACAGTAGTTTAATTACTTTTTTATTTTAGCCTTCTTTCTTTAACATTGTAGAAATATTTAATTAATTAATAAGCACTTTATGCTTTATAAATAACTACTACTTTATCTTGTTCTAGTACATCTAGCTGTGCGCAACAAGCTTATTAAACAGAGCCTCTCTGTTAGCTAGGGTAAGTCTTAGAGAACGCCCTAACTGCTGCACCTGCAGAGCTGTAATAGTACTATACTTTATAAGGTTCTAATAGATTGCATAGACAGTACTATAGCTAGCGCGTAAGCAAGTAATAACCTCTAGGATAAGAACGCTAAGCATTAGAAGATAATATGTAATAAAATAACTATAAGCAGTCTTCTACCTATGCTTTAAGTAAGAGGAGGCTAGTAGCAAGGCCTCTAGATTAAGAATGCGCGCTTCTATAAGACACGTCCCCTAGGGGGCCTGTAAGAGGCCTATAGTTAGATCTATAATCTAAAACTCTGCTAAATTAGTAGGATAGGCCCTATCTATACATTTGAAAAGCTTCACCTACAGTAGAAAGCGTTGTAGTTGATTATATAGAGCGATATGTGCAGTGACCTGCATTTCTATAAGATTTGTAAGGGGAAAGTTGTTACTTGGCATTGCTAAGAATCTAGAGAATTTCGCACACGACAATTAGCATCTGACGCACGGTTTCACCTGGCGCACACTCGCTTCGGAAAATTTAAAATTTCAACATAACTCTAACTCTACTAATATAGACCTAATTTTAGCTGCGTTGACAGCGCTAGAATCACTCAAGCTAGGTAAAAAACCTAATATTACTTAGACAGCAAAAAAGTTTCGTGTTGCTTAATTATTGTTGTTAAAACAATTTTATAGAGTCTAGTAAAGCTATGCAAAGTAATAAAAAAATTAAAGACTTTTTAATTTGCAGTAAGAGAAGGAGCTAGTATAATACATTAATAGGCTCTGCAAACAAGGCCTACCTTCTACAAGACAGATGCTACGCAATTTTACTACAGAAATAAGCAGAAACCTTGCTAGAAGGTTATAGCCTAACTAGTTTCTTAAGCGTTACAAAGTTAAGCTAGTATCTAAGTAGACAACTAGTATAAATAAAGAAAGAAAAAGAGTTAACTCTTCTTTTAAAGATGTACTATATTTTAAACTTTTAAAGCGTAAGATTAAGCAGTATAATATTAAGTCTTAAGACATGTACAACATAGATAAGAAAGGCTTCTTAATTAAAGTTCTTTTAAAGACAAAAAATGTCTTCTCTTAAAAAAAGTATAAAGAAGAAAAGATTAAGTTAATAGTATAGAACTGTAATTATAAGTAGATTATAACTATTACATGCATATGCGCAGAGAGAACTGCCTTGTCTCTAGGCCTTATTTACTAACCTGTTATAGGTAACATCTAAGACACTTAGCTATAGAATTTTAACTTTAAAATTTACAAAGCTTTCTTTACTTTATTTTTAAGTAAATAGACAAAGAACAACTTAGGCCTTTAATAGGTTAAAACTATGTTTAATTAAGAAATAAAAGATAAGGCTTAAAAGTGTTACTAACTACTTATCTTTAATATAAGGCCGGATGTCCTAGAACAGGCTAATATAGCCTCACCTAACCTGTTTAGAGGTTATATAACCTGTGCTTTGTATATAAGCATAAATTCTAACAAGTAAGGCTTAGCAGCAATTTGTCTCTTTTATAATACACTTCTATCTTTCTCTAAAAGCTTGCTCTTAGTGCTATTTATGCTACTTACTATTTTATCTTTACATTTAAATTGCTTTACAAGCTAGCATACTACTT